CCCGGGAGCTGACCATTGACGGGTTGGCCTATGCTTTGGGGATCGAGTACCACCCGTTCGATCACCACGAGGTGGAGGTTGCACACCCGACGGACTGGAACCAGGATGAGTTCTACCGCCGGATAGCCCACCTCGACTATGCACAGGACTTCTTCGACCCCGGCCAGACATACGTTCGCTCTCTCAAGCCGACGTGGCACATCCTGAACCTGCTCATCACCCGCTCCATCGTCCCCAACGTCACCGGCTCGCACAAGATTCCGAAGCGGGTGCTCTATGCCATGTACTCGATGAGGGACCCGAAGCATATGCTGCACTTGGGTTCTTTCGTGGCCACCACTTTCTCCCGGTGCCACGGGAAGCCCAAGCATCTCTACTGTGGTCCCCTGATCACCCGTATGGCGCGCCATTTCGACATCACCTTCCAGGGGCTCCATGATTCTTCTGCACGGGGCGGCTCCACCCCCCTCAGCCGGGACGTGCTCCACAATGCACTCCTCTTGGTCACTGATGGCACCTGCACCTGGGTCGATGGGCTTTCCATGCCTCTTGAGGAGGTTGTGGATCTCGATGAAGACGAGGAGGACGCTGACTACTCCGCTGAGGAGGAGGATGATGATGACGATGGCGGGGCCATGGATGCCGATGAGCCGGAGCCCCCGCTCTCTCCACCAGGGGACTTTCAGCCTCGACGGAGATCAGAGAGAGGCGAGTCTTCCTCTGGTCCTTCTGGTCCGTCGATGGCTTCTGGCCTGTCGATGGACTTCTTCACGGAGCAGTTGCAGCATATGGGGCTCTAGTTCCAGCAGCACGGCCTTCAAAACCAGCAACTCATGGACCATCAGGTCCATTTCTATCAGCAGTATTCGGCCCACCAGGCCGAGTACCAGTCCAGGCTGACGGTTGTTGACGAGCGCCTCGGCCGCTTAGAGACCCATATGGGAGTCACTAGTGCTCTCATCGGGCAGGAGAGAGATCGAGGTCGCCGATTGATGGAGTAGTCGGAGCACCTGCTCCAGGCTTGTCACCCCCCAGAGGAGCACCACTGGACCACCCGGTGGGATCATTCGCCGCCACCACCGCAACCACAACCACCACCACCGGAGGATGGAGACAATGATTTTATTAACCAGATCGATTTCACCGGTCTCGGAGGCCCCTAGTGGCATGTTTTGAGTGTTCTTGTTTTTGTCAGCATGCAAAGTGTCTTGTGTCGGTTTTGTTTCTTTCTTTTTATTTTGGATGCTGTACTATTGGGCTGACCATTGGACCTAACGTATTGTGTTTGAGCTCTTTGGTTTCCTTTAGCTGTGCTTATGCCTGACTGGTCCTCTCTCCAGTTCGCTTCATTCCGACTGGCCCATTTCCAGTCTCCTGCAGTCCGTGCACACCGGTAACTTCGTTCCCCTTTCCTTCCCTCTTCTCCATTGAGGGCAATGTCGATCTTAAGTGTAGGGGGATGTTTATCTTTTGACTGCATTAGATCTGTTTGTGTGCTTGGAGCCTAGTCCACTGTCCAAATTTTTAAATTTGAGGGCTCCAAGTACGTGTTCCTTGCAATTGCCTGCTCTGTATGCTTTGAATTGACAGTCTCTTTAGTAATGTGCAACCTAGAGAGGTAGTGTAGCACTATGGAGGATGTTGATGCATTTAAGAAGTCTCATTTCTTCTTCATATTGTGTTGGTTGATTGAGTGAATTAGTGATCCTAGGACCCTTGAATGGTGTGGTGTTGTGGACTCTCTACCTGTCATGGAATCTTGTATCATGTGTTGGAAATAACAGGTGCTCGAAAATGTGCTTTAAAACAACGTCTCTCGTGCGAATAGGGCGAAAGTGTGTAAGGGGAGACGGGAATCCATTCCCAATTTCCACCTACTACCTCCAGCCCCCTTACATGTCTTTCCCCCGCACGAGGTTCGAGACATCCTCTCCTGGCATGGCCGGTAAGAGCCGGGCTCCCGCAAAACCTCTGCTAGGTGGGAGCCCCATTTTCTGAAAAACAGGTTGGAACCCTTGAAAAAGAAGGAAAAAAAAAACAGAAAAACAAGCAAAAAAGAAAGAAAAGGAGTTCCAACCATCTTCAAGAAGAAGATAGAGCACCTTGAAAAATGTGAGTCCATGATCTTTTGTTTTTGAGAGTCTTTTCATCCACGATTCATTTGTCCTCTGTTCACTATTTGCCATGATGCCGACTCGAGACTAGCGTTCTCGCCGAAGAAACTATGAGATGACTTGTGCGTCGGTTGACCTCGTAAGCTACTAAATGATCTAGGAAGTCCTCTACCTACGATCGAGGTTGTTTGTTGCTATAGAGGTCTGGAGAGTTGCATTGGTTTGAGCTAGGTTTGCTTGGGGACAAGCAAACGGTTAAGTGTGGGGGAGTTTGATAGACCGATAATTACACATGTTTTCACCCCTATTCTTGAGCCGTTTGAGATGTTGATTCTCGTGTTTTAAGCCGATTTCACGCTAGGTTGTGCGTTTATGTCATATTTCAGGACCCGGCGTTGGAATCGAGGCGAAGGAACGAGATTCGGGTCGAAAGGAGCAAGTGAGGCTTGAAGTGTGCTGGAGGACAAAAATACCCGGCCATGACCAGAAATACCCGGCCGGGTATTATTTTGAGGAGACCGGGTATTTGCCGTTTTGGACATCTGAGGAACAGAGGGGGTCCCGGGCATGAAGCTTAAATCCCCGGTCGGGGATTATTGGACATGACCGGGGATTTTTCCCTGAGGCAAAATGCGCGTTTCAACAATACCCGGTCGAGTACAAAATACCCGACCGGGTATTTCGACCGGGTATCGCGACAGGCAGCAGTTTTAAGGGAAAAGAGGCTAAAAATCAAGGGTTCCGAGTTTTAGAGAGATAGAGCGATTCCTAGAGAGAGAAAGCGACGAACCAGAGTTCCCAAGTGTCATAGCTTGATCTTCATCACCATTGGAGCCCGGCTTGAGCTTGGAGAAGTGCCGATTGACAACCAGGAGCCGAAACTCATCCTTCACAGTATGATTTCCGCGTCTGAATCTGCTTTTGCTTCTTTCTCCATGGAGTAGTTTCCCCATTCATCTGGGTATGGGGAACCCTAGATTTGTATGTTAGGTCTGATTGTATGAACCCAAGTACAGAGTTTATGATTTGATTATATTCGATTGAGGCTTGAATGATTGAATGACTTGAATCCTGATCAAATTCCTGTTGTTTCTGCTTTAACCTAGAATGAAAATATCTGCCTAGGTTGATAGAGCATCCTTAATTGAAGGTAGTGAATTGGCGACTTTAGTCGAGGAGCCAATTCGCTATTCTGTACCGAATTCAATTCGGTAGTGGACGTTTGGTTCGTTAGGGCCTCAATCTGTTTACTCCGGTGGAGGTTAGTCGCCCGCTGGAGACTCAGATTGAGAGGGTCTGGAGACCTTTAGTCGAGACTTTAGACTGTTTAAGAACCTTCCGCGGTATAACTTTCATGGAAACTGAACTTGGTAAATTGCAATCCGGCTTAACTGCAGTCTAGGGGGAACCATATTCGGGTGACCTCTCTCGACTTGAAAACAACCGTTTAACTTGCTTTGTTTGTTTGTTAATTTGGACTTGCACTAAAGTTTAACTGCTAGATAACAAGAATTCACCGAGTAGTCATCAAATCTAGGACCCGGGTTGACATTAAAACCCAAACCCGCTATACTACGCTTTAGGAAGTGGTTACACTTGGCCATTTTCTAGAGAGACAGTAGGAGTGAGTCACCTTTTCACTTGGGTGTTGTAGAACCCTAACTTTTACCATGTAATTGATTGTGTGGATTGAATGATTGTGTGATGGTGGTGTTTAATTTAAGAATTGAGGTATTTTTCATGGGGATTGTGCATTGTGTGTGCTTGGCAATCTATTGTGCTATTCTAACCTAGCTTAGAAAGAAGCTCCCTTATCTTAAGAGGCTCAAATTGAGCTGGCTTTTCTTAGGCATTCCATGCCTCCTAACTAGATTATTGAAGGGAAAACCTCTAAACTTGAATTAGACACCTAGGTTAATTGTGATTATCCCATCCAAACCTTGGTTTGAGGGAGAAGGTAAGTCAACCCTCAATTGCTTGAGCCAAGAGGGCTACATACAATTGCAGCCTATAAAGCTTTCCTTGGCCTAGCAATTGAGAGCAATGTAGTCAAAATCGCGCTTTAAAACTTAAAAACTTATGATTTTTTACGTTTCTAAGTCACTAAAACGCTTCTACACAAAATCTCCGGAATCACCCTTTCTCGATTTAATCCAGTCTCGCCTTTCATTTCTTTCTAAAACTCTCTAGTTAGCAAATAGGAGGTTCATTGTGAACAGGTTAGGTACAAGTACAGACTAAATGGATAGGAGGATAATACTAGCCAATAGCTATTACCCTGAGATGAATAAGGACGTGGTGAAGGGGAGCAAACCATCCTAGTCCCACTCTTTTAAGAGATTTTTCATCTCTCTTTAACTCCTAGTAATAGCCTAATAGGTATATAGAACCAACCGGTGCCACTTCTCTATCCCTTGGGTATAATTGGAATCCCCCCACCATGCTTTTAATAGTAACCATAGCGGTTGGATACATCCAAAAACGAAAACCCCCCTCCATATCATCCTCGATCCATGGGTAACCCTAATCACCCCCAACTAAATTACAATAACATGACATGTTATTATATGTGAATACCCACAAATTAGGAAAAATGAAAACAGAGAAATCAATCTGTGTGAGAGAGAGAGGCAGGGCAGCGTAGTAATGTCAACTCGTGATGAAGCCTAGTCAGTCCCAATACACAAAGAGAGAGAGAGGAGGAGATGTGATTGCCGAAATTTATAACGGTAGGTTGAAGGTCACTGTGGAAGGAGCGTCTTTCCCACCTCTCCTCTCTCTCTACATATACAAAACCCTTTCCCCTCCTCTGCCCTCATCATTACTCTGTTCCCCTCTCTCTCTCTCTCTCTCTCTCTCTCTGCTTCTCTGTTTTCATCCAAAACAATGGCGGAAGATAGCAGCAGCAGCAGCAGCTCTACTACCACCAATCTTCATAGCAACAACCATTCCCCTGCTTCTTCCTCCTCCTCTTCTTCTTCCTCTTCGTCTACCTCTCCATCCGCGGTCGAACCATCCCGGCCGCAGAAGAGTGGAAGTCGGAAAAAGAGAGCAGTGAGTGATCACGGTCACTGTTGCAATAGCAGCTGTAGTAAGCGGTCGTCCGCGGCGCAGCTGCGGAGCGGCGATGACAACATCCAGCACACTCCGAGTTTGAATTCGGCTGACGTGGCGGCGGCCACGCGGGAGTACAGAGGGGTGAGGAAGCGGAGCTGGGGGAAGTACGTGTCGGAGATACGGCAGCCGAGGAAGAAGTCGCGGATTTGGCTGGGGACTTTCCCCACAGCCGAGATGGCGGCGCGTGCGCACGACGTGGCCGCGATTACCGTCAAGGGCGACTCTGCCATCCTCAATTTCCCTCACCTCGCGGATTGCCTCCCCCGCCCGGCGTCTTCGTCGCCGCAGGACATTCAGGAGGCGGCCGCCAAGGCCGCCGCCATGGTCGAGCTGGATTCCCCTCCTACCATTGCCGTGACGGAGGCGGCGACGACGACGGAGGAGGAGGAGGATGAGGAGGAATTGGGGGAGATTGTGGAGCTGCCGAATTTTGAAGGGAGCTTGCCGTTCGAGTGGCCGGCGATGGAGGAGTTCGTGTACTGCTATTACCCGCCGGCGGGGCTCGAGTGGGACAGTTCCGTGATTTCCGGCGAGGCGGCGGGAGCTTCCGTGCTGGGATTAGTTGCGGAAAATTCGGGTGTTTTTGGAACTGTGACTTTTTAGCTGTTTAATTGACATTTGAAAGAGAAAAAAACCATTGGTGCCTTTTCTTTTCCTCCTTTTTACTGTGAGATATATATTTACAGTTTTTACTACACATATGTTACATTATGTACATACTATAGTACGATTTCTATAATTAAGGTGAGTTTGGTTAGTTAGTACACGCGTCCAAGGATGAAGGTCCTACTAATAATAAGCCCTTGGTATAATTTTGTGTGATGTTTCATTTTTGACCCTCTCATCATCATTGTTATCACTGTAATATAAAGGAACAAATTAAAAACGTTTTGTGTTATATCTATAATTTTTAATTACTATTCAATCCCACTTTATGCTTATTTTAAGCATACTTTGTTGAATTATTATTTGAAATTCGAGGTGCGAGAACACATTATTCGGGTAGGTTTCATCTAATTTACCTACACGGACATATATATATTACCAATGATGGATTGGTTACTTGTTCCTGGCTATGATTTCCCTAATGAGGAAATGAGGCAATAGTCAATGTTGCTATTTTGAGGTTATCCCACATATAAGTTTGCAGAGGATTCATTATCGATGGATCAATGGCTAGCTCTAGAAAGCTAAAATATCATTGTCTTTACTTCGACTGCAAGTATGATTGTGAGCTCTTTTCTTTGGTTATTATTGCAAACTTTTGCAAAAAAACAATTGCACATGGGTAATATTTAATTAACCAATGTACTTTTGTCGTGAATTTTTTTTGGTATTTAAAGATGATCACATGAATCACGGTCCTCAACTAGATTTTGATTAATTATTAACAAAATTTTGATTTGCTGTAGTTGGTTGGTTGGTTGCACTTTACTTTACACTTCATCGTCGCGGCAAAAGCTTTTCTATGCTAAATGTCAGTTTGTGAGTGTTATAATATTTTGATGCAATCAACTTTAGTGACTTGCTAGCTACCTGTTGGGTTTGGTTGGGTGGTTTCTCTCTTTTGATTGGGCGGGTTAGTTCGATTCGGTTTGGTTCGGTTTGGAGTTTGGTCTAACTCCCTAAACATTGCTCTATTAGTTAGTTAGTCGTCCCTGACAAAAGACCATGTCCTGATCAACACCAACATATAAAAATGATGAGTTGGAGGAATAGAGATGTCTTGACTATAGTTTTCTATTTTTTATTTTTTTATATTTCGGTGGGCTGTTGTGATTTAATGTTAACATAATAGATGTATATGTACATTTTTAGAAGCAATTCACAAGTGGTCATGTCGTTGATTTTCAGTCTGAAGCCTCTAGGGTCGAATCCCAAAAATAACGCTCATTTTCCCCCCTCTCCCACCTCTCTAATAGCAATCTGTAGCAAGTTCATATCAAACTAAACCCTAAATCCCGATCCCACTATTAAAGCAAAACAACATCAAATACTAACATGCATACAACCATTTTTTGGCCTAGTACAAAACATAATTATATCGAACATATAAAAAACTTGGTTTTTGTCGCTAGTGGGTCAGTCTGGGTTTGCTCGTGACGTTTCAGAGACCCAAACATAACAACAGTTAATCACGCACGCATTTCACATTCAAAGAACCCATTCAACCATACGCCTGGATCGACTTGTGCCACGTCCCCCCCCCCCCCCCCGGTTGAATCGGTTGTTGGGTTTTACCAACCATTCGAGCGGAGTATCGGTTAGCTATGTTCGGGGTTCGAGCCGGAACAGTACTACTCCAATGGGGGCCCACATGGTACAGTAATTACTACTACTAGTACTACTGGGGGGTGACTGAGACACGACCGTCGAGTGGCTTTCATGGAGGTTTGTGGTCGTGAGGAGAGTGGTGGTGGTGTTGCGGTCATGACATCTGTCCCTGGCGTCGTAAATGAATCCTTTTGCCCACCCAATTTCCCTCCGGTCGACGGCAATGGCAATTCCACCTCCGTGACAATTGGACCGTTGCACTGCCACACCTACCCCGGCCGACTTCCCCCTTTCCCCCACCACCGTCGTTTCCCGGCCACAACCTTCTTATTACTTTAATTCATATATCGTACTCCCCAATTCAATTCAATTCAATTCCAGCTAATAACTAATTAAAAGTAACAACAAAACACTAAAATGATCGTTAGGGTTAGATCCTCCGATTGGGCAGCGGCACTTTGACGGCGACATACGTCGTCATCAAGCTGCCCGTTACAGCTAGTGCGTGGATTAGTTCGATTAGTCAAAATTACAAAGCCCAACGGGAGAATGGAGGGAAAATGGCGGTTCCGTTGTTTGCATATAGGCAGAAGAAAAAGCCGTTATGTGAGACAAATTTGGGTGGGTGCATCATTTGCCCAGAAACAAAAGTGCCAAATAGTTCCATTGTCTCTTTGCCAAATTTTCAATTCGAAAAAGGGGATTTTTTTTTGTCAACTTTTTCGGAGTGCCATCTTTTTCCAGCCATGTACGATTATATATTATGTTCCTAAGATCGAAAACGAGTAGTGTGTGTGTGGTATTGCCGTATTGGGGTCAACTTGTAAGGCTTAATGAGCGTCCATACAAGAAACTTCGAAGGAATGAGCAATTTACTACACATCCTGCGCTAACTATGGTGATAATTAATGGACTATAAGGTCTCAGCAATCTGTTTCTGTTGACCAATAATAAATACCAAAAGATCAGTGTTGCTAGTTTGGGATATTTTGTGGCAATATGAAGATCTTTATGTGCTGGTTTTGTGTTCTTTAACAATTAACATACTGCTAATTGAGTAATCGGTTTATGTCCTCTCCTTTCGTTTTATACGTGTCTTTGTATGTTTGTGAAAAAAAGAATCAAAGTCTCAATATTATACATCATTATTTAAGGCGAAACAATTTATACAAGATAGTTAAGTATAACTATGAATCAAATTTAAGAATATTTTAAACACATAAAGGGGCATTGTTAAATCGAGATTTAGACTGCAATAAAATCAAAATCAACAAAAATACGAAATGTTTGTTAGATAAGGGTGATATAGGTTTAATTTTTTTGTTGTTGTTAAGGTACTACTTAAGATATTCGAATCAGGACCTCTAGATTCTAGACTAGTGGCGTTACCACTAGATCAAATTCTTGTTCGTTTAAAAATTCTAAAACTTTAAGAACGATGTAGAAACTAACACTTGAACGCATTGGATAGTATTCATGAATTACTCTCAAAACAAATAATACTTAAAATGATAGCTTCTAAAAAATAATGATACTAATTCCAAGTTTCCAACAATTTCTACTTTTACAGAATAATTGTGATTATGAGTTATATTTGCAAACAAGCTAATATGTTAACTAGGACACAATTTACATTCTGCTATATATAACCCTAACTAACAAGTTGTATAGGGTTGATAAAATGCAGTACGAGAATGTTACTTATAAAATATGTACGGGTATTTTACTTCGTCTCTAACCTAATGTTACGTTTAATAGTACGTTAATAGTCATAAATATATATAATAAATTATTTTAAAAATAATATAACTATATAAATAATAGTAAAGTCAACAATTTATTTCATTAAATACGGATATTAAACGTGTTATACGGGTTTTATACGTGTTTAGTACGGGAGACATCAAATGAATGGAAAAAAATGAAACGGCCTGACAATAATACGGATACGAAATTTTTTAAACGGATAAAATACGTACGGGTACATATACGTGTATTAAACGGAGTATTTACTAACTATGGTTGATAGTAATATATAAGTACCTTTGTAGCCTCGTTAGTTTTGTGTGAATGTAGTAAATCAATAACAAAAATGAAGATTATTTTACTAATCTTGTTCATATTCAGTGGCGCAAGCTCTAGTTCAGTTATTTGCATGTGTGATGGGGCTACCAAGAGTGGATCACATTCGGTTGGGGGAATGATCATCAAGAACCATGAAAGGGTGGTCCTTTTGGCTAGAGGGCTGTAATTTGCTCTGATTGATGACCCCATGGTATTCGAGCTCCTGGTTCTTTGGGAGGGTATTTTGTGGTTTCTAAAAAATGATTTCGCAGATATAAGGTTTGAAGGCGATCAAAGTGATCATGACAAATTAAACATGGCAGATACCAGTGATAGTCGGACATGGGCCATCCTGGAGGAAATCTTGCTCTGTTTGGCTGTTCATAGTGGAGTTCATATGCGATTTGTAGGTCGGAGTAGTAATAGGGTAGCCCACCTGGTGGCTAGAAAGGCCCTTTCATTGTACCCGACTACGTGTCATTTTTTTTATTTTCTGACCTGGTTAAATTCTGGGATGTAATAATCTATTGTTTCAATCAATATATATAATTATCTTTTGTAAAAAAAATGTGGAAACCATATAAAATTGATGTTTTTTATTATTTTTTTCGTGTTGTCAAATTCTACAATATCAAAATTTATTGACATAAAACAAACATTCTCAATATTTCGCTACTAATATGTAATTTTTTTGTAGATCAAGAGTGATATAGGTTTGTTCTCATTATAAGGTGTTATTTGAGAGATTTAAATCCGAGACCTTCCGCTTGAAAACTAATATGTAAATTGCGGTTGAAATTTTCAACTTACTAGGCACTTTTTTTGGGTGCAAAGATGAGGGTCCTTGTATCGAAGAGCTCACCGATATTAGGTGTTTGGCGGATCAAGATAATCGCTGAGGGGAGTACACGAAGTCTGTGGCCCTTCTCTTGAGTGGAGGATTTTAATAGGGACAATCCTAGTACCACATTGGTACTTCAAGGGAAGGGCCCCTTGTATATATGTGTCCACCAAGCTCATTAGTACGAGGCCTTTAGGGAAGGATATCCAAAAGTAAAATCGTGCGGGATTTGACCGAAGCGCAAAATATCATACTAATGGAGCTTCCCGATTTCGACAGGGTCAATAGGTGGACCATTCCCTTTTTTGTAGGGCTTACCCCTACCAATTCATACGGTGGGGTTGAGCTTTGGGTCATTCTCTTTAGAGTTTTGATGGGCCAAATTCTGATATGGTGGGACTTTGAGCTCATGCCCCTTTCTAAT